ACATTCCCGAAGTTGTCATGCCAATGGCACGCTCCCTCAAATCTTGCAACATCCATGGCAGTGTGTTGTGGGATAAAACTGCACATTTTAGGATGGCCTTTTTTGTAACCATATCAAGGCACACCTGTCAAGTAATCATGCTGTTTAATCAGCATCTTGATTAAGGTTGCACAACTAATCAGATTTTAATCATGATCACAATGTCTGCTTTCCGAACATGAAACAAATATGATCAGCTGCGATATTAATGTTAAAATTGCGTGCTCTGCTCGTAGAAAACTATGCTGCACATCAAAAATCTGTCATCATTACCTGTTTGGAAGCAATCAGGAGTGAACAAATCACATGCAAACAGTGCATGAGACTTGTGTCTGCACCACAGCGTAACACAACTGACTTGTTAAGCCACCTGAAAAAACACCACAGCCTGCAGCATGATGAATACATGAAGGTCAAGAAGAATAATGACGCTAACAGTACTCCACTGAATCAGTATCTTTGTCCAGCATCAACTCAGACATCCATAATAGAGCAGCTGTACAGCGCATCACAGTATCGTGACCAATGTGAAAAGAAAAAAAAACACAGCAGCGGAGACATACTCAAAGGAGATGTACTGAATTCAGATGAAGAAGAACCTTATTTTAAATCACATTGTGATGCAAGGATTTTTGAATCAGCAGGAGTGTAGCACAAGGTGAAATTGAGAGCAGTGCACTGATTTAATTTTGAGTAAGAAGTTTTAGCAGAATTTTATTTTTATTTTGATTCTTGGAGATGCACTGTGAATAAGGGTCGGTCTTATTTTGATGTAAAGATTTGTACATTAGCAGGAATGTAGCACAGATAAATAATTGATAAATAGATAATAGAGAAATAATTGTGATCTCAGTATTGATCAGAGTAATCCTGATTATCATTTTGGCCATAATCGTGCAGCCCTAATCTTCATATGTCATACCTGTTGGGTGGATGGAGTATGGACTGTTGTGCCAAAGTGCCCATTAACACGGATTTAAACAATGTGAACAAAATCTGAGAGAAATAAGTCTTTAGCGTGCACACAATGAGACTTCAGTCTTTTATTTTAACTCATAAAAATGCAAAAAATAAGACTGTTGCTTTTATATTGTTGTTGTTTTGGCATTATTGAAATGCTGAAATGTTCCTGTTCTCCAAGTATTTTTTCCTCCCATGTACCTACATTTAAGTACCAATAGGAACCAGTTGGTATTTTATAATTACCTAATTCATTAGAGATGTGAACCGTTAATTGGTTAACTGCAGAGAATATATTTCACAAGTCATGCCTGTCTGTCTATAGGTTAATGTTACTGCTTTTTCTTTTATTGCACTGTGCACCACTTAGTGTTACCAGTGTTGCTGTGAAAAGTAAGCAGCTCAAAAATAAAATGCTCACTCTGATTTCTGGGTAGAACAAATGTTTTATCCCTGGAGTCCAATGATTCAACAATTCGCCTCAGCCAGAGTTACTGTATCTTGCCAATTAGATTTTTACTTACGAGCAACGGCTTCTTCACTCTTCAAGACGAGGAACTGAGTGTCAGACTGAGCTCCTGCGTGTGGAGATAAAAACCCTTCAAACTCACCGATTTGTGTGAAATCTTTCCCTTGCAGTCGATCATTTATAAAGATCACTATCCAATCAAATGGCATCATGGAGTCTACTCCCACACACTCCTCCTCAGGTGATCTAGATTCCAGGAGTTGTGAATGAACACCCTGTGATATATTCCCCAAAGTTCATGTAATAAACACTATTTGCTCCAAGTAGGTGTTAAATGTATCAGAAGCAGGACGGTGATATTTTACCTTAAAGCCTTTGTTGTCAGCAGATAAAGCCTGAGAACGATATTTCCTCAAGCAAGAAAAATAGGAGCTATGAATGAACAAAGAGCAACTCTATATTAATTGGGTCTTTTGTGTCCTCAAGACAGTCATGGTAGTGGTGGTAGTGATAGTGATGATAGCAATAGCTGAACACAACACCTTTTGTTATGTGACTGAGAATGTCCTCTTCCAAAAGACGAGCACACGGAGATTTTTTACAAGCAGCCATTCTGACCCACATTTATGTTTTTGTGAGGCAGTGACTAGGGTGGGAGGGAAGGGAGGTGGAAGGGTCAAACAAGCACCAGACTTTCATCCAGCAGATTGATGTTTACCAAAAGTCAACGTAAAATTATGTTAACAACAAAATGTAGTATGTAGATATATGTCACTTGAGTGATTTGACAAACGTTTTAACCACGGATGTTTTTTCTAAACCCAACCACATAGTTTTGGTGCAACTGCGACCAGTGTTCAAAACTGTACTTTAATATACTATACTTTATCATCCATCTGTAGGTGCACTAATTTAGGACACACACCTGTGGGTCATATTCAGATGTATGACGATATGACTCACGTGGTTGTATGGATTGGAGGACTTCTTGTATTTTTAGGCATTCAGTGTACATTAATTCCTGTTGGTAAGCACTTTGCCCTGTCATGATGCTTATCAAAAAGTTGCCGGTGTATCACCACAATAAGTGACAGACAAAGGGATTTCAGCAGTTGGCTGACATTATTGAATGTTTTTTTCAATTTCTAACAGTAAGGATACGAAATACAGGACAAACAAAAACAAGAAAACAACCACACTGCCATCTAAAGAAAAAAAAAACAGTACAGTTACCAACCAATCATAATGTGTCCACAGAAAGGTTGGGACAGAGAGAGCATCAATAGGATAAAGACAATAGATGGTCAGGGAAGGTCCAAAGGAGACATAGTGTCCTGGTATATCGAAGCACAGTGTACAGACCAATGCAAGGGAGTAGCTCAATGTGGTTAGTCAGCTTGAGTCCTCATCCTTTTGATATGTTCAATATAAGGTCCCTAAATTTTAGAAAACTTGAAAAGGCGGTTAGACAGTGTACTGAATTTCTTTGAGATGTAGACAAGAAACCATGTTATTTAGCCATTAAGTAAAGCAAGGAGGAGAGGCAGATTTCCATTCTCGCAAAATAACCCTTTTTGCTATGACTATACCAAATGTAAGAGCTTGCTGTAATGCAGGGCGACGAGTCAAAGAGTAATCAGTCCCTCACTGTCTCATTGTGATACAGGGCTATTCTAACTGTACAACTGAAAAATGTCTGCCCAGAAATTCCTGAGTTTGGGGCAAGACCAGAAAAGGTGAGCCAAGGTCCCCACACCTGATTTACATTCGTCACATGTAGCAGACAAAGTCAGTGCTGTAATGTTTCCTTGAATGAATAAAAACCACATTTGTCTGACCTTGGTGTGCAAATCTGGACAGGGACAATTCCTGAACACCAGCGATGTAAAATGTCAACTTCAAAGTGAAAATGACGACTAAAGAATCGGCTAACACTAACCTGACTGCCATGTAGCAGAAACATTCAAAACTAAGGCAGTTGTTGATCAGTTGCGGCCCCTACCAGCCTGTTAATGCCTGGTTTTATTGAAATAATAATAATATAACCTTTATTTATATAGCACTTTTCAAAACATATGTTACAAAGTGCTTTACAGAACAACTAAAACATAAAGTACACAATTCCAATACATGAAAACAATAAATGACACAACTCAGATAAAATCAAAAAAGGCTTTTCGGTAAAAATGTGTTTTTAGAAGAGATTTAAAAGAGATCACTGAATCAGCTGACCTTATTTCCTCAGGCAATTTGTTCTATAGTTTTGGTGCCCGGACTGAAAATGCTCTATCTCCCTTAGTTTTCAGTCTGGACTCTGGGACGCATAAAAGGCCTTTGCCTGAGGAACGTAAAGTGCGAGTAGGAGCATATGATGTTAAAAGGTCGGTGATATAACTAGGACCAAGACCGTGTGGTGTGATATTCGAAGGTAAGATTACTGTCAAACCAGATGCCGAGGTTCCTTGCAGTGGGCTTGACGTATTCCGCTAGAGACCCAATAGACGGCATCAGTTGATCCTGACTGTGCTGCGATCCAATAACCAAAACCTCAGTTTTTGCCCCATTCAACTGGAGGAAATTCTCCGACATCCAGTTTTTTATATCCACAATACAATTTTTCATAGTACCCAACATCCCAGGATCAGTGGTTTTAACTGGTAGATACAGCTGTGTATCGACTGCATAAAAATGGAACTGAACCCCATGTCTTTGTATTATGTGCCTCAGGGGAAGCATGTATATAGAAAATAAAATCGGTCCCAGGACTGACCCCTGGGGCACACCGTACTTAAGTGGAACAAATGAGGACATGTGGTTGTTTCCTGCAACACAAAGCCTTCTGTTTGTAAGGTAAGATAAAAACCACTCTAAAACTGTACCTGAGATCCCCACACAGTGCCTTAGTCTATTTAAAAGAATACTGTGGTCGATCGTGTCAAAGGCGGCACTGAGGTCCAGAAGTACTAAAACTGAGCACATACCATCGTCAGCTGCCATTAAAAGATCATTGGTCACTTTGAGAAGTGCCGTTTCAGTGCTATGATATTTCCTAAAACCAGATTGAAATTTTTCAAAAATACAGTTATCCTCCAGAGCTGTTAAAAACTGCGAGGACATGATTTTTTCTAAAATTTTCGATAAAAAAGGTAACTTGGACACTGGTCTGTAGCTGTGAAGGATGGAAGGATCCAGCCCAGGTTTTTTCAATAGTGGGAAATGCATGTGTTTGGGGAATACTGATCGTACGACTGGATAAATGAGACTGGGATTATACTGCACAAGTTCTGTGAGAGTTTGTAAACAGATATTTTGGTATAGTTTAGCTGTTGTTAAACATAGTCCTCGTTTTCTGTTACTCATAAAGAATTTTCACTGTTTTTGGATTTTCCCTTCACCATGGAGGTGTGTAAGAAAAACAATTTTTTTTATTAATTCAACATAAAAACGCATTGTTTCCCTGAAACTACAAATGCAAAAAAATATTTTGACCAATAATAAATACCAGTAATGATGAAATAAAAAGGAAAATAGGCTGTTTTAATGGTTTAATCATGTATTGATGACATACAGTTTTATCCTGCAGCAGTTGACAGCACATCCAATGTTTAGTATTCAACAGACAAGTCAACAACAGCATTAAAACATGGCCAAACCAAATATATATGCACTGAGAAATTCTGTAAAAAAAAAAGAAAAAATCCCAAAATGGAGAGGGAAAAAAGGAGCCTATAAAGTGTCCATCACATGTGCACTACTTTTTGTAAAAAATCCCACAATGCATCACTGTCACACAAGGAGATAATCAATAAGTCTACAAGGAGGTGATTTTTGATTATTGTTACGCCTTATTCAGACCTTCTGTGTCCCTAATCCAGACGGGAGCCATACACCTCCACCTCACACAGACTCAGGAACTCTTCTTTCTCTGGGATGACTATGTTGATGTAGCGACCATCGATGCCATTACATTTGAACTCACTGACACTACCAGCCGGGATACTTTTGACCACAGCACACCTGGAAGGAGAGGCAGAAATCACTTAGTTAACCCCCAAAAATATTAGTCTATGTTGCTTTAACAAGGGGCATGCAGCAGCAACAGATAAATGAGATGGAACAATAAATAAAATCATACAGACAAAAAAAAGTGTGCTTTTAGCTAACATTTAACAAACAGTAATTCATTCCACAGTCTAGGTGCCGTGACCACAAATGCATTATCGCTCATGATTTCAAACATAGGAACTGAGAGAAGAGCTTTCTCTAGCCATTACATCTGGCCAAGGGGTGCTGTGATACACCAGTACTGACAATAATCGTGATATTTAAAAAGGAATTATTGATATGTTAATAATATAATTAACATCGTGTAAATAATCTAGCGCCTCTTAATTTCTTTCCAGTCTCACTTTGTCTGCCTCCACCACCACCATCTCATTGCCTTTTCACTGTCCATTTAATGTGATTGCTCTTTTTGCTAAGTTGTTGTAGCTACAGTTACAGACTCTCTGTCTCCCTCTTCACACTCATGTTTTGAGCGTAATTAATTTAACAAAGAAAGAGACAAAACACACAATAAACAAAGCTTAAGATGAATTTGACTCGTACCATTATTTTTTTTTAAGTATATATATTAGCTATTGTGAACCAGGGCTGCCCCCTAATAATCGACCAAACGTTAGTCAACCAGAAAGGTTATTAATCGGTAAGATTTCGTTGGTTGCTTAGTAGCAGAACACAAACAAATGTGAAACTGTATTAGGAGCTGCACCTTGTCAAAATAAATCAAAACCTATATGACTGGACCATGTAGGAATTTAATTTGAAAGGACAGACACAGGAAGTGTCCATGCTTAGCAGTCAGACAGGAGTCAGGTTACAAGTGACAAGTCGTTAAGTGATTTTATCATTAACCTTTGGTAACGTATACCTATGTGATGCTTGCAGCTCGACAAAAAACCCACATATATGTGAATGTGTGATAGTTGTGTTATCATAACAGCCTGTCACAGGTTACAGCGTTGATGATTAGAGAAATGGCAGAGCACAAAGGTCCAGGTGGAAAAAAAAACAACTCAGTCATTTAGGATTTTACTAAAAGAAGGAAATCACCTGTTGATTTATATATATATAGATCCCAGGGGACATTTTTGTGTTTGGGAGCTGTTTAAATGTGTAATTTGTGGTAGATTTTATTTAGTTGAACTATTAATATTGTAACAGACCCTGAATCTCACTCTGAGTTACTGTTGTTGTTCACAAACTAAAGAAATGAGAGATCATTTTAGCTTTTACAGAATATTTGAAGGCGAACTGTAAAACTATGTCACCGTTGCAATTCTATGTTGTTAAATTAATAATTTATATATATATATGTTTTACTAATTTATTACATCGTCAAGTATATCGCCATGGCAAAAATACCCTGAAATATCTGTAATTATTTTAGGGCCATATCACCCACCCCTAACCCTTAGTTATGAGTAACGTTAAGCCTTGATCACACAGGTGTGTTATCGAAAGATTCGCCCCTGTACAGTTGTCATGAATGTTGAAATTAGCTATTGAGACCAAAATGTTTTTCTGTACAAGGCTGTAAATATCTTTATTTCTGCTCTAAAGTTGGTCATTTTAACACGGAGGTCTATGGGGATTGACTCGCTTATTGAGTCAGCCTCAAGTGGCCATTAGAGGAACTGCAGTTTTTGGCAGTTTTCTGTATTGGCTTCGTGTTTCCCTGGAGGTTGCTGCTTGGAATAGCATTATTTTTTTTCAGGTATTTTGACTTAACAGTATTCAGCAATTTGAAATTTGGACCTGATGATGATGACGCAAGATGAGAAGATGTATTGCAGTTCATCCTGAGGGAAACATGAATGTCTGAGCAAAATACCACACCAATCTATCCAATAGCAGCTGAGATTTTTCAGTCTGGAACAAAGCGGTGGACCAAAAACCAGCATGGCTAAAAACATTAATAAGAGCGGCTGTAAAATATGTTGAAATAAAACATAAGAATGTATCAGGGACTTTAAATAAACATGCTGTACACTACCTGGTGTTGTTGTTGCCAAAGTTTGCAAGAGAATCTCCGATGCGTATCTCGGCTCCATTGAGTCGTTCTGCTTCTTCATCTCGGTTGGTAATCTTAACAGAATCGATTTTGTGGGTTTTGCCCAGGTCCAGTCGCCACCAGGGGCTGATGTTGTTCTTTGTGTGAGTGCAGGAGCCGTCCTCCCACTTGGGGTTAGGATTCCCATCAATGGCATTGTAAGCATTACCAAATTCATACAGTGATGACTGGGAGGCCTTTCCTTTGAGCGCCAGGTTCTCTCCTGCAAAAAGAACGCACACACAGAAATTACCAGCCTTACCCAGACCTCTTTGCAGTTATCATTATAACAAAATCACAGCAAATTACAGTTTTTATTACATGCACTAACATAAATGACTGCTGATTTTTTTTTTATTAATGAATATGTCTCAATGAATAATATATTAATGAAGGTTCATTAGTACGGTTTTGTATTTCTCTGTAATGTAGCACAGTGTTAACAATGTTACTGATACTATTCTTTCTCACACCTTCAACTCAAACCACCAAAATATATCATTTAATAATTACATTAGTATCATAAACATGCAGGCAACTCGTCGACTAATGGCCCTAAATGACGACTATTGGTCGACTAGGAAAATTCTCAGTCGGGGGCAGCCCTAGTTATATCTACTGATAATTAATCTGTTGTGCCAGCATGTATGGTCAGAATGTTTGTAGGTGCTGAAACACACCCTGCGGGAATGGGCGGGAATACATAACACACGGGAGCAGGCAGAAGCGGGATAAGGAAAACCATCCTGTTGTGGGCTCTAAATGTAAGATTCTTGATAAAGGCAGGACTTACCACCGTTTATATGATTACTAAAGTTCCTTAAATAAAAATGTGGCTTCTAAACCCGTTCAGTTATTATTATATATGATTTGTCTTTGGCTGCAGTTTACAGGCAAGATAAAAATCACAGCATACTGTTCATATTTATTTATGTACTAGCTCAGAATCTCACCAGTTGGGGCACGGTACCCATAGACTTCCACTTCGCAGAGTGTAAGGTACTTATCGTGACCCGGTACAACCACAGTGACATAACGTCCCTCCACTCGATCAGTGAAAGTCAGAGTGAACGATTGGCCTGAAGAAATTGAAGAAATTCTCCCAGCCCTAAGAGAAAGAGAAACAAAGTCCTTCAGGGTTGTAGCTGAGTGAAGGGTTGATTCTTTAAAGTCAAACTGAATATGGAATTCTTCTCATATTTTGTCAGCGAACAAAAACTGTAACAACTATACTATTTAAAACTGAGATGAAAGTGAAACATCTAAGCCAGACTCCAATGTTAAGGTTTGGTAGTGAAAATGCATGTTTGGAAGGTGCTGAGCATACCACTGGATAAATCAATCAATCAATCAATTTTATTTATAAAGCCCAATATCACAAATCAGAATTTGCCTCACAGGGCTTTACATAAATGAGACTTTGATTATACTGCACAAGTCGTGTGAGAGTTTGTAAACAGATTAGGGCTTGGCGATATAGGCAGAAGTTCATATCTCGGTATTTTCAGGACAAGGTAGCATGTAGGCTGTTCATACTGCATGGCGCAAAATGCCTCTTATTTCAGCTGAAATTTAATTATAATTTGTTTTATTACCTTTTTAATTAAGTGAATAAACAGTTTCCTTCACAAATTCAAGGTAACGTGGGGTGAACAACTGATACAAAACTGGTCATTTTATGAGTGAAGTATTCTTTTAACCTTCAAGTCTCAAGCAAGTCCCAAGTTACTGTACTAAAATCGAACAAGTCAAGTCATGTCATTCAGGTCAGGTCAAGCTAGTCACGAGTCTGTTTATATGAAATTCTGATGATTCAATAATTTAATAAGTTAAAAATGACAGATTCCTGTGCCTTTGTGGTTTTTGTAGCAATAGATGTCGTTGGATATTCTGGTCTGATATGTTCTTGTAGTTTGTTTTTCACATTGTACATGTTCAAAAACAAAACATAACTTTCCAGTTAGGGTTGTCAGTTTTTGTTAATTTTTTCTTTTGACATCCTGACACCCATGAACTGAACTAACCAATTAATTTTTAAGGAAAAAAAAAAGAAGCCAACTGGCGTTAAATACAAGAGGCTTTTCCTTTTAGTCTGCTCCATTGACTAGGTGAGCTTTAGCACTGCATTTCAAAGTGCTATCCATTCAGAGGTGGTGAACTTTTCATGTTCTGTGATATAAATTTTTCGCTTTTTTAAATTTTTTTATTTTGTGTTAGCTGACAGACAGCCGCTAGCTGGGTTAAGATGTGGAAACAAAGTGCCTACTGCTAGCCTTCCAGTCTCCACTGGTTAGCCGAGTTTAGCCGCGGCTGCTCTGCACTGCGCACCAGCTGGCTCGGGTAGAAGCTAGCTAGCAGCCCCACTCATCCAGCGGGACGATGTTGCTGCAGAAACATGGTGGCCAACTTCCAAGCACCTCCCCGTCACCTCGGTGAGTAAGTGGCTTAATTTTGTGCCACCAAAGAAAGCTAATATTTAATTTTAAAAAGTCATCCATCTCAAGTCCTCAAATTTGCGACTGAAGTTTGATTCGAGTCAAGTCATGTGAACTCAAGTTCCTCACCTCTGCTGTTTTAAATTACTTGTACATAAACATAACAATGTGAATAATTTAAAATAATAGACTGGAGAAACAACGGACGTAGCTACTGTGATGTCACCCACTAGTTGGTGGACTGCCGTGTCAAAGCCTCGAGTTTGGCATTTCGGCCAAACTCGACCATATGGAGAAGAGGCTGGAGCTGTGGAGGAGCAATGGGTGGATGTGACTCACAGACAGCCTGTCACTCAAGTGGCCCACCTTAAATTACGCATATATTTGAGCCTTGATAAAATGTGGGTTAGTCATTAAAAAAATTCAGCCCTTGCAAAGTTGTCACGAACGCAGAAATTATCTATGGATAGTCGGATACCAAAAATGTTTTTTTTTTTTTTTTTTTACATCAGGCTGTGAACATGTTTATTTCTGCTGTAAAGTTGGGTATTTTAACACAGTTGTCCGTGGGGGCTGACTCTGTTTTAGAGTCAGCCTCAAGTGGCCATTTGAAGAACTGCAGTTTATTTTCAGGCCTCAGGTTCCCACTTGCGTAAAATCCAGGCCTAAAACATGCTTAAACTCTTCCTTTGAGAATTTGCTAGTGATGAGCATTAAACGGTGCAGAGGTTAAAATGAGAGCGATGCCCTTACACACAAAATAAAACCAAAATGAAAGTCTTTTTTAAAATGCAGGATATTTTCTTACACTGGGTTTGCAGCACCGTTGTCTTGTAAAGAGTTGCCGATGTGAACCTCTGCCCCGTTGAGCCTGTATGCACAGCAGTCCCCTCTGTTGGTGATGATGACGGAGGTGACGATGTAGGACTCCAGCAGGTCCACTCTCCACCAGGGGCTGTATTCCTCATCAGTGTGGGTGCATGAGCCAGAGTGGAAATTAGATTCACGGTTTCCATCAATGGCACTGCTAGCAGCTCCAAATGCATGCTCATAACGGTTTGACTGCGTCGCTTTTCCACGCAAGGCCACGTTTTCTAGGATTGAGACAGATGGAATTCATTTAAAATGTTATAATGGAAGATTTTCTGTAAATTTTTAAACTTAAATCAGTGCCTCAACTAATAACTTAACTCCAGAGCAGCGTTGTCATGATACTGAAATATCGATATTTGATACCACAGAGAATAATTGACACTCAGGATATAAAATATATTGTTTTATGAAAAGATTTATAGAGTGCTGTATGTATGTGTATATATGTGTGCATATCTTTGTATATGTATGTGTGTATGCATGTGTCTATATATTTATTTTATTTATGTGCTGGTGAATGTACTGATGTCCTTCAAATCCTAATAAACATTTGATCACAAAAAAAATAAATAAATAAATAATAAATGTAGAAAGTGAATGTGTATGTACAGCAGCTGATATTTAGACACTTAAAACGTAAGCTAGACAGAAATTTCCCTGCTTATAATGTGCACAAATGTTTTGTGTGTACTTAGAGCTCAAGCTCAAGAAAACAAATGTGTTGAGCCACATCTCAACAGTAAACGGTTTAAGTTAACTTTCTACTTGAGGCAAAAGTCGTGCAGGAAGCTGTTGCAGACAAGTTTGTAGGACAGAGGACGTTAGTCTGCCGATACAGTCTGACTAAGATACAACATTTAGAAACCTCAGTCAGCAAAACATAAAACATATATTTAATGTGAGCAGTGAAATTCGTTTTTATTCAGAACTCAACTCAGTTGTAAAGCTTTTGTTACCCAATATTATTTACTTGCTGATGAATATGTTTAGTTGTGGGAACACGCTTTCTTCTAAAGCAGCTACACAGATTTTGGAGCAAAAGCTGGAGTCACAACAGTTAAACTTAATTTGTATAAAAATATTTTTTTACTTTTCAGACTAACAAAACAGACATGAATCCACCTTCTGGTGATTTTTTACAATGAAGACGACTTGCATGCCCTCAGATCATACTTACCATAAGTGGAAACTGAGCACGTCTCCAGGAGGAGCAGCAGAAGGAAAACGCTGAGTGTCATCATCCTGGTTGAGACAGACAAGAGTCATTAAGAGACATATTTAAAACAAAATCTACATTTCCTACTCTTTGTAATTGACCGATTTCAACATCAAGAGATGATAGAGCTTTATTTAGGGAAGACTGGGTTTGTAACAGCACCACTTTCACCAAGAAGGGATGACCTATGAGTCATTTCATAAATTTATTACATGGTCACTTCCTTCCTGACTTTGCATGTGAAATTTAATAGTTTAGTTAAGTCTGCAGATTTTATAGCCAAAACTCAGATTTTCAGGTATGAGAGTGAGATGAGATTTTGTGTCACTTTGTGTACTGATCAGGGGTGTGGCATATCATCTCGTTCACGGTAATACCAGTATAATTTTTAATATCATATGAAAAATTCACATTGTGATACTTGCAATATTTCGACTTGTTGACATATTGCTGTCATACTGTTACCCACAGCAACAACAAGCATGGCTGGAATTGAAACTGTAATCAACTCCGAGTTGGTTCCAAAAAGAGGAGCAGCTTCAGTAGTGTGAAATAAACTGTGGCGTCCTGAATGTTTTATGAACAGTCCCGGACTTCTCAGACTCTTTTAGTGACTTACAGCTCAGAGGGAACTCATTCAGCGGCTCCTCTGGCAGCAGCACAGCGTCTCTCCCTCTCCTCTCTCGCCGTGCACACACGGAAGTCTGTGTCGTCACGTGATTTTGTCATAAACCTTTGGTAATGTAAACCTACGTGATGCTCACAGCTCGACAAAAAACTCCATAGAAGTGAATGTGTGATAGTTGTGGTATCATAACAGCCTGTCACAGGTTACAGCGTGATGATTAGAGGAGAAATGGCAGAGCATAAAGGTCCAGGTGGAAAAAAAACAACTCAGTCATTTAGGATTTTACTAAAAGAAGGAAATCACCTGTTGATTTATATATATAGATCCCAGGGGACATTTTTGTATTTGGGAGCTGTTTAAATGTGTAATCAGTGGTAGGTTTTATTTTGTTGAACTATTAATATTGTAACAGAATCTGAATCTCACTGAGTTACTGTTACTGACATGAGAGATCATTTTTGTTTAGTTTTTGCTGAATATTTGAAGAACTGTAAAACTATATCTCTTATTTTGTTGCAATTCTCTATTCTTAAATTAATAATGAAATATTGTTTTGCTAATTTGTCATATCGTCAAAAATATCATCGCAAAAAAACTATTTTAGGGCCGTATCGCCCGCCCCTACTGATGAAATCAGAATTATAAAAGTTTATTAGATTGGAGAGTGGTCTCATCTGTAAAATATGAAGCATTCCATCTTTGCTTATTTCAAACCACCATGCTGCCAGAGCTCACTAAACATCAGCTTACAGGATAGGTGTTATTACTCACCCAAAACAACAAAGCACATGTTATCTACACGTTTTTTCAGCACGCCAGGAGAGCTGGTAAGAAAAACCGAGGGGTGAGCTAGCAAAGAATACTCTAATCTGACATGTGACACTGAGCAGGTACTGCAAAAACAAAACAAAAAACCTCAGGGAAGGAAGATCAGTGAGCGTTTACTGCAGACGAAAATTCTTCAGTACACAGCAAGAGGATGTCTTGACCTGACTGAGGCAGCTGACTTGTATTTCAGAGTCACTCCATGTGAAGCATTAAGCATCTGACTGATCCAGGTTAGCGAGTGAGACCTCAGTAGGAATTAGTAATTAGTGTATTTATCAGTTCTTTATGTGTATTTTTTGTAATTGTGTAATTTTTAATAGGGATGCACAATATTGGCCTCCTTGCCGATATCAGATATCCTGTTATATAACAACTTATTTGACTGAAAACTGATACCGATAGCGATATACATACATACATACATACTCTTATCGTGATGGCCCACCAGCAGATGGAAACAAAAAATACAGTACTTTTCAATATGTAATATTCAGTCATTGTGCAAAATAAGAAAAAGTACGTTGGCCGAATACCAGTGATGTGCCGATATTAACGTGCATCCCTAATCAATTCTTATTCTTATTGTCACACCTTAGCCCAGCAGTGGGGCAGGTTGTAACACTGAGGCACCTTGTATTTGACGTCAAATAATAAATTCTGTGATATAGTTGGAGAAGTTGGAAATGTTGCTTTTTGTAGTTGTCAAGTAAGGCTACTTTGTGCCAAAATTTGAGAGCTCTGACAAAGAAACTCTGTGAGTTATCAGCACTGAGACAAAAAGCGTTACAACCATACCCGGTCTCCCCTATCCGAGGGAAATTGTGCAGCAGTTGCAATACAAAGTAGGAATGAGTGCAAATATAGAGTGTAAGTATTCAGAAAATTTCACAATTTGAATTAAAGTTCAGAATATTTGCCTCCTCATGTTGCAGAGGTACACATCCACATGCTATGACAAACTATTTCTAAGGTGAAATGTTCTGAAGTAATGGATCACAAGTCAAGAGAGCAGACATTAAATTACTAAGATGATCTGATGTAATATTATGCTGAAGTGTGTTACCTGGAGATCCCGACAGTCTGACGACTCAATGAAAGAAAATCTTCCAAACCCCTAAAAGCTGAGCAGCCGTCCTCTTTAAATGCATCTTGGTTGAACCATGTCCAACCAGTCATAGGAAATTTGATCATATCCAGATTCAACACTTATGCAATCACATCCCGCCGGTTTACTCGCCTATTTCACTTCCCTACTCATGAATTATGTTTCAGAGGTTATACAAATGAACAAGAAGTACGCCACATCATAGATCACATCATACACACCGATTTATTACCAATAATGTCACGTAAATAACAACTTCCAACACTCAAATAGGTCATAGCACAAAACAGCAGCATGTCATGTGACTTTTTACTTTTATTATATTCAATACAATTGTATGTTCCTAAATCTTGAGACACCTCATATGTAAAATAGACAGACATTTCACCTGCTCATACTGTGCACACATGTACTGTATGTACTTAGTCCTAAAGAGCCCTTCTGGTGCCAGTAGATACATAGAAACATTCCAGCAGGCTGTGCTTTGCAAGCATACAAAAAAGTTTCACGCATGTGAAAATTATTTTTCATGCGTGTGCTTCACCTCCGCTGCTACAACTCCATCCTAGGGGAAACACTGCTGTGTGCATTTTGTGCAACAGGTGGATGTGGTAGTCTACTAGTAGAGTAGAGAGAGAGAGCTAAGTAGCGTTGAAGTAGAGTAGAGCAGGGCAGAGAGATGGAAGCAAAATATATTAAACCCGGTGTAAATACAGCAGAACTGGAGAGAGGGGTGAAAAAAAAATAGAGGTGGGCATGGCTCAAGTAGGGCGCAAAATTATAGACTGAGAACGATTGACAAATTTTTCACTTTAAGCCCTGACACTGTCATTTTTGTGTAGGAATTAAGCTACAATACATGACATATGTTGTTTTAATTAATAAATACAGTGTGAATAAAGATTACATAACATAAAAATAACTGCAGTCTTTGTTATTTGATAGCCGCTTAAATTAAACAGTTTTTTTAGGGCAAGTAAAAACTGACTTGGGGCAAGTAGATCTCTGACCAACTTGCCTTACCGGGCAAGTGAAAAAAAAACAGCGTTGAACCCTGCAATCCTCTCCATGTTCTGTGATAGTGTTCCAGCTTTTGAGCCTTTCAGCAGGTGCAGACCAGATTTCACTGCACATCTGTTGTACCCCAGTGATATGGCAGGATGAGACGTCATGACTTCTCTTCTTTTAGCCTCCTTGGTTGCTGCTAGTGTGTCCTAGTCTACCTTTTCAGCTGATGTCCTAACTTATCTGACGCCTCAGTGGCAAGTCAGAAGACTAGTTTCTGGAGCCATTTCACTCCCTGCAAACAGTTGGTTGAACTTCAGCCAGGTTAGCACGAGCTAACACAGCAGCAGCTGTTAAACAGTCCCAACAAACTCACACTGACGGTCAAATGGCTCTGCTCTCGCTGTCTGTCTTTAAACCCTGTCTTTAAACAGTTAGCACTGTTGTGTGCGGGCGGGCCGACTCTGACCAACTTTCTTGTAGCACAGAGGTCACCACTCTGCAGCAATAGTCTCCTAGAAGCAGTTGTCTCAAGAAAAGCAGAGAGAGAGACAAGAAGGGGCTGTCAAACCCCACTGTTACTAAACAGTTACTAAAAAGCTGAGGCAGAGGGTGCTGTCTGTAGCTCTGGTTGAGGGTGAGAGGCTCTCAGCAGATAAACAGAGATCTGTGTGGGTACATGAGACCCTAAAAAAGAGGATGGATCATGGGGAGTACCACCAGTTGGTCCAGGAGCTTCTCCTCCATCATGGATGTTTCCAGGCATATTTTAGGATGACTCAGGGGCAGTTTGACAACCTGCTGTCTATCATCAGGCCATATCGCTCTGGGTATCCAGCAACCACTACCACCAGTTTCTCCTCCATTGTTTACCAACTGTGAACTTGTTGTCGTGACGACCACAGAAGGCCCGCCTCTCAAATCATCTGATTGGACAAAGGGGAAAAAAGAGATGATGAGGGACGCTTTTCCTCTCTGAGTTGAAGTTTTTTCAACTTGAGGAGCTCAGAGTGCTCTGGCAAAAATGTCAGGTGCCCAGAACACAAAAACGCAAAAACAGCGAGTAAAAGCTTCCTTCTCATTAAAAACAATTACAGATAGCTGCCTAAATGCTTTCTGTGTGTTCAGGGCCTTACAGGGCAAACCACCAGCTGATTAAAAACAACATCACCACATTTTGTCTTTGCAAACACAAATGTATTTTTACGTGTTTATTTGCATATAGAGCGGGGAAGTGGGATCCGATCACTCAATGTGGGGACACATTCTGATGCCAGGTGTGCACAGACAGACACAGAGCTGTCCACTTGTGATCGGACCAACCAACACACACGTTCGTTTACACCAGGTGGGACAGGCTCTTACTTCTTCCACCACAGATCAGTGTTCCCATTGGACAACCTTCACGACCTCTGCAGACTTCAGTTCGATTAAAATGGACCATTAAAACATGAGCAGTTGTTGAGCATGGGCAAATAATTTCCATCTCATAAACTTGTTAATACAGAGTAATGGCCAATGACATACGTCATATTGTAGGTAATTGTTGTATTTTTTATAGTATTTTTATCGTAATTTTCCTGATCTATTTGTTCTTGACTGCTGCAGGACTTTGACTTTATTTTATTTCCTCATATATTAATTGTGTGCACCAAACAACGAGGCAAATTCCTTGTGAGTAAAAACCTGTTTGGCAATAAACCTGATTCTGATTCAGACGATGACAGATTTTGCAATAGGCCTTAATTGTATCATACTTTAAAGGCATTGGTTTGATTTTGGGAAGGTCTTTCTCAGTGTGCTCCTCAACTAACATGATACAAAGAGTAGCAGAGAGCACTGTCAGCTGTTCTGACCTGTTTGGAGCAAGTGTGCACTGGTTGGTGCAAAGTGTTGCCGTCCTTGACACTGAAATTTCAATGCAGCTTTGTTTTGACCATCACCCCCCGATTACACATCTGGGTTGGAAACTATCAACATTGCAAATTTGTGGGAACAGAATGACAACATCAGTAACCGTTACTGCTGAAAGTGCTTAGTCGCAGATTTTTATTTTGCGCAATGTGGACACTTCCTGAAACTTCTCTGTTTTATGTCAGCTTCACTCGAATGTGTCGGTCTTTCAACATTTCAGATGTTACTTCTCTGTTTTTTCCCTCTGAAAACACACAAACATGATCCCACTCCATCCAGTTTCCCTGTTTATCTAACTTCAATAATACTTCAATAATAAAGGTGTTATGGCATTAAATATGTAATAAGGCCTCAGTCTGATTATGGGCCAAAACATGATCATTAGTGTGCCTCTTTGACAATATAAGCCATATGAACTAATGACAGTTAAGCAATAGCACACTCTGAAGTGTTGTGATAATGACACCACAAAGTGCACAGTGTGAAAGAAGTACTAAGATCTTTTACTTACGTACCTCAAGTGCCATAACAACAGTGTAGAAATTTTTACAAGTAAAAAGCCTGCATTCATAATTTTACTCAAGTATAAGTACAAACATAAAGTAAAAGTACTCATAGCACAGAATGTCTCTTTTAAGAATAATATATACTATATTATTAAGGCTCCGGACTAACTTTTTTTAGTAGGAGCACTGTAGTGACAAGCAGAAAATTTAAGGGCACACCTTAAATTATCCTGCAATGGAATTATTCACATTTTTTGCCATTTTAACTGTACTAGTCCATACCCATTGGTAGCTTTGTCACCTTCTACCTATGCCAATCCTCAATGCCTGTGTGCAGTTTCACATAGATTGACCACGTCAGTGAGTAGAGAAACATGGGACAGACAGAATGACTGACTGACAGAATGACACACTGACAGTTTCCATGATTATGTACAGCATACCATACCATGACTTAGTCATACCAAAAATTAGAAGAAAACAACAACATTGGTCCACAGGGGGAGCCACAGCGATCAGTCGCATTTTAGCCATTTTGAAGCATTTTTCTGTTGTTATAGCGCCACCCAGTTGCCAATTAGAGTTAAATTTCTCCAGTCACCTTGAGGCGTCCTGTTCTACATATCTACCAAGTTTAGTAAAAATCCATGTGGCGGTTAGGCCTAGATAAGAAATGAGCTCTCTAGCGCCCCCATTTTGTTTGATGGGGTCAATAATGGAGGGGTCCCCTCAGATTATGTGTGGTCATATGCCTACAAAGTTGCGTGGTGATGGGTGAAACCCTTGAGATGTTACACACCTTTATGTGATGAGCCACGCCCTCAGCAATATTCATTGCCTTATAGAAGCTCAGTTTTAGTAAGTTTTCCAACTTTTGCCAAGAGGGAACTTTAGATATTGGTCCCTAGATTATGTTCACCCAGTTTCATGCAGATCGCTCAAACTTCCTAGGAAGAGATCCATTTGAAGTGTTTTTCAAAAAATTCAAAATGGCGAAAAATCTATATAAGCGGAAGTTATGGGTTCTTGAGGCAAATGTGTTCCTCATGAGGAGAGGCATCTCTGTGCAAAGTTTCATGTCTCTACGACATACAGGACATGGGATATGCCCATTCAAATTTTACAATTTCAATCGGTTGCTATAGCGCCCCCCTTTGGCCAATTGATGTAATATTGCTTCATTGGCATCCTCCCATGACCCTCTACCATTGTGCCAAATTTCACATGGATTGACCAAGTCAGTGAGGAGAAAAACGTGGAACAGACACACAGACAGAGTTTTTGTCAGTATATAGTAAGATAAGATTACTGATAAATGCTTTGGTAATAAAGAGACAACTTACAACTTACTTATTTCAAGTTTACAAATTGAACAAAATTAAACTTTCATGAATGTATACAAAGTATGTGGTCAGTAACCTTCCTAACCTACCTCCTGTTATTACAGTAGAAAAACTGTAACAAAACTAAACAACTGCATTAAATTTGATCATTTGTAACGCACGCCCAGCTCCTGAACTGCGCACATGCAGTGTTGTTGCGACATGTATGGTTAACAGTGACACCGTTCTTTCTCAGAAGTTCAATCTGTCCCTTACACTTGGTAAACGGTAGCTCCTGCTTTTCAATGATCATTTCAGCCTCCTCTGCAGATTGTATCTTAGGTTCCTGCCTGCAAATACAGCTGGAAGTTGGGATTCTGTTTCATTTGTAAATTCAGATTTTCTGTTTTATGATTTTATGTTTCAGTGGTGTCTCATGTTTGAATTGTGCGTGTGTAGAGGTTGCTTCTGCAAAGTTTGTCTTCCCCACATATTTAGGGCCATATCTAGCGCAGAACACACAGTTCATTGTATTGTTTGTTTGGTTTTTCCTGAGCCATGTAAATTCATTAAGCCATTTCTGTCTAAAAAAAACTTGTACACGAGCGAGTAGTTGTAAAAAATACTCGCACTGACTCCAAAAATGGTCACAAAATGCCTGGAGCCCTGTTATTGGATTATAATTAGTGATTCATTACAGACTTTACAAACTACTGGGCAGCTCAGCCTTTAATAATACAATAGAATTTATCATAGTATTGATAATGTGAATCTGCAAAGAAATTAAAGATGTTTTAATAAATGTAATTCAGTAAAAAGAACAGTGTTTCCCTCTGTAATGTAGTGCACTTTGTGTTTACACCATCTTTGTGTTTGCTCTCGATTGGATCACACAACAGATTTACACATTCCAGAAGTCTTTACTTGCTAAGAGCTTCTTAAAGGTGCTATTGATAATGTATGGCACCAGCTGCCGCACTCCTTCTCACCCCTTTCATTGCATTCATGTAAATGTATAAAACCCTTAAGTCTTAATGGTGCAACCCGATTAAGTAAATAAGTTTAAACCTAGCTGGTAGTCACCAATCGGCAACCTTCAGGGCTGAAAAATGAAGCCAACACAGAAAAATGCCAACAACTGCAGTTCCACTAATGGCCACTTGAGGGCAGCTGTGGCTCAGAGGCAGTGCAGGTCGTGGGTCATCCTCCAATTGGAAGATCGGAGGTTCGATTCCCGGCTCCTCCAGTCTGCATGTCGAAGTATCCTTGAGCAAAATACTGAACCCCAAACTGCTCCCTATGGCTGTTGCATCAGTGTGTGCGTGTTTTAAAAAAAACGAGTAGCAGGTGGCACCTTGCACTGTTGTTCAGCCACCAGTGTATAAATGTGTGTGAATGGGTGTGATGTGACTTGTAGTGTAAAAAGCGCTTTGAGTGGTCGAATGACTATAAAGGTGCCAAACAAGTGCAGGTCCATTTACCGTCCATGTACTTGAGGCTGGCTCCAGAAGCCAGTCAATCCCCGTAGACCTCTGTGTTAAAATGCCCAACTTCACAGCAGAAATAAACATGTTTTCAGCCTGGTGCTGGTCTCCGTCGCTGAGTTTAACATTCATGACAACTGTATCCGGGCTGAATTTTTGTCTTACTCACCTGTTTACATTTTATTAAGGCTTAAAGTTGTGCATAATTAAAGACGGGCTGTTTTGAGAGACAGACAGTCAGGGGAAAGTGTCCTGTGCTTCTCACTCACCTCCACCTCTCATTCCTCCACAGCTCCAGCCTCTCGCCCACATGTGGTCACCGCTGGCGCCAAAAACACAAGATGGCGACGGCTGAAATGCTGAATTCAAGGCTTCAGACAGGAGTTCACAAACCAATGGGTGACATCACGGTAACTATGTCCATTGTCTTTACAGTCTGTTGTAGTTACTAGTAACGTAGGAACGATTTCACGTTAGAAATTATGAATCGCAACTTGAGTGTGTGTGTTCATGATGATGAAGGGATGTGACCCAGTGCAACAGTGTGGCTCATTGATGAACACTTTTTGTGTAACAGTGGAGCTCAGTGGTACAGAGGACTAAGAGTTATCATGCTTTACACACACAAACTTATTAGGTTGAATTCATCGTTGATTTTGGTCTTGTCATTGGATTTCTGGATAATATTATGTCGTATGAAAATTTGATTATATTGGATCTTTCATCTCCTCCTTTGTCTTCATGTAGTTTCACTCATCGTCTTTCCAGCATCACAATAACATCCCTGAGAATGCAAAGTTCACACATTATCTAATCAGACCAGGGAGTTGAGCGTTATATGATCCACCTGGCAGCAAATCTGCAACATCACTATCTTTAATATTACTGTTTCATCTCTGTGTTGATCTGACCAGGAAGTACAACTGTATTTTTTCGGGAACTGACGCTAACAGCGAGTACACAGGGCACTTTTTTTTTTTCTTTTAAAGGCAGCCTGTAAAAGAAAAACACATTCAGAGTTCATTTTACATAACCGGATTTTGTTAATGTAGTTTTGACAAATAAAGACCTCTTTGAGCTGATAATGAGCTACTTACGCTCTGGATACACTGACAATGATTGATTTTGGTCTTTCCTTAGAGTTTCTGGACACTAAGAAAATTTCCTTCGGCTTTTTTTTTAAGCCTTTTAACTTCTTTGTGCTATACTGGCATAAACTGTATATTTACTTGTGTTTGCATTCTGCATTAATTAAGGGTTTTAGCTAAGCTCAAGTTTATGCAATACACACTTCATAAAAAGTTGTTGATCCCTGATCTAACAGCTGAAATCAGCCTTATCTATGTACCCAGACAAAGACAAGTCTTGTGTGGTAAATCATCAATAAACAACAGCAGGTGTCATGATAAGATGTGCACATAAATATCTCTGTGTGGTCCACATCAAATCATATTCATCAACACAACAGAAACAGCAGCTCCTCGTCTTCTTCTGGATTCATTCTAAAAGTCAAGGTATGTGTTTGTAGTTGAATAATGATGCTTTTAAATGCACAGTTTGGAGGTTAAAGGTTAAAACTACACACAGGTAATTTATTATTTTCCACCAGTTATTCTTCTTATAACAGTTATTTTATTTTGATGCAGTTTGGATATCTAACTTCTAGATCAAAGATTGTTGTAGGTCTGGGATAAATTTCAGACAGTAATAATGATGACAGTGTTTATTCCTTCAGTGTAATTCTGGCATTGACTCTGTTGTCTGTCTCAACCAGAACAATGAAACACAGCTCAATTCAGTTTTTGCTGCTCCTTCTGGGGACATGCTCGGCTTACACCTATCGTGAGTATGACCTGGCTCTATCTGTGATATCTTTGTTACGAAACATTAAAATTCCCCTCCGCTCAGAAGTATTTTCCTTATCATTACTTCACCTGTATGTTTGAGCCTCACTGTGCAGAGTGATGTATTTAACACTAGAAGGCTGCGTTCACGTTCGTCTGCTGAGCAGGGAAAGTTTCTCTGAGCTCACCTCTCAGTTCAAATCTCAGTTTAAGACGTGGATGTACAAACAGGATTTTGTGGCATCACACCAGTGCACGGTCTGCACACCAAGAGTTTCTGCAAGATTTGTTTGTGTTGAGTGAAAACTTTAAACATACAATGGTATGAAAAGAGATGAACTATTACCAGCAGCACTATCTTTATAATGACAGTGTGAAAGGGATCTTCATCATAATTGACCTACTAAGAATTATCAAATGATTCTGCAGCTCTTTTTGGCTTTACTGCTCTCATAGTGTCATTTTCAGCTTCAGCAGGCAGACGCAGTTTCAGACTAACTGGTGAACATAGTGAAACATTTAGCGCCCAAGAGTCATATTTCCTTCAGGAGTTGTTGGAGAGCAAAAGCAGCTCAAAGCGAGTGAACATTGGACTCATGCTGGATTCATGTGCTCTTTAGATGGGCCCATTTCCCAGGCTGGGAAGTCGTTCTTCTGACTTCGGTGTGTTCATGAGCTTTAAGCTGTAATTTAGAAACAACATGGACGCTACAACGGAGAAGTGTTGGATTTTATTGCTCAGAGCATTTAAACAACATGTTGATAACAGTTTGAAGATGTAAATTACAAAATGATTTTCTCCCAGACTTGTTGCTGCACCAGTACATCCCTTAAAACTACAAAAAATATTGTTTTAACTAACTTAGATCACACAGAAAGTGTTTCAGCAGCTGGAGACGGCTCTTTGTAAAAAAAAAAAAAAATTATGAGAATGAAGCTTTTTACTCACAGTTTTTTGCATTACTACACGCCTCACGTTTCTGCACTCTAGGCACATGCCGTTTTTGCCAGAGTGCTCTCACAAGTTGAAAAAACTTCAACTCAAAGCAAAAAAGAGCCTAACGTCATCTCTGCTTTTTCCCCATTGTCCAATCAGATGATTTGAGAGGCGGGCCTTCTGTGGTGGTCATGACAACAAGCTTACAGTTGGTAAACAGTGGAGGAGAAACTGGTGGTAGTGGTTGCTGGATACCTGACAACAGGTTGTCAAACTGCCCCGTAGTCATCCTAAAATCTGCCTGGAAATGTCCATCATGGAGGAGAAGCTCCTGGACCAACTGGTGGTACTCCCCGTGATCCAGCCTCTTTTTTAGGGTCTCATGTACCCACACAGATCTCTGTTTATCAGCTGACAGCCTCTCACCCTCAACCAGAGCTACAGACAGTACCCTCTGCCTCAATGTTTTGGGTGCTAGATACTGATTGCTGTCAAATAACTAATACATAACTTTTCTAACTCATCAAGGTCACAACGTTGATTATTCAGACACCACATGAATGAAAGGTTACAGTCATCATGTGGACTCACAACTCTGAATGACTGATAATGTTGCTCTGTAACTACTTGATGTGTAAAGCGACTGTTAAAGAGACTTTCTGATTCACAGAAAATGTGGCCTTGCGTGGCAAAGCAACCCAGTCAGACTGGTTTGGAGTTTTTTTTGGAATTGCCTACAATGCTATTGATGGAAACCATGAATCTAACTATGGAGCTGATCGTATCAAGTGTCTAAATATCAGCTGCTGTACATACACATTCACTTTCTACATTTATTATTTATTTGGAACAGGCAACAAAGAAACAATGCCACACTGTGCACACTTAAGTGCTCTATCCCTGCAGCACTCTATAAATCTTTTCATAAAACATTATATTTTATATCCTCAGTGTCAATTCTTCCCTGTGGTATCAAATATCGATATTTTTCAAGGTATTGAATCATAGTTAGAAATTTCAGTATCATGACAACACTGCTCAGGGAGTTAAGTTATTAGTTGAGGCACTGATTTAAATTTAAAAATTCACAGAAAATCTTCCATTATAACGTTTTAAATGAATTCCATCTGTCTCAATCCTAGAAAACGTGGCCTTGCGTGGAAAAGCGACGCAGTCAAACCGTTATGTGCATGCATTTGGAGCTGCTAGCAGTGCCATTGATGGAAACCGTGAATCTAATTTCCACTCTGGCTCATGCACCCACACTGTGGAACAGGCCAACCCCTGGTGGAGAGTGGACCTGCTGGAGTCCTACATCGTCACCTCCATAGTCGTCACCAACAGAGGGGACTGCTGTGCAGAGAAGCTCAACGGGGCAGAGATTCACATCGGCAACTCTTTACAAGACAACGGTGCTGCAAACCCAGTGTGAGTGAACAAAATGACATATTAAATACAGGGGAAATTGTTTAGCAGATGTAAACCACCAAGATCCTGACGCAGCTCATCTTATGATCTGTTAGCTTGTGGATGATGGACTGAATTATAGCTGCACTTGAACATGTGACATGTGCTGTGTGAAATACTGCCTGTATTCTTTCTCTGGCAGGTTAAGTGTTGGTATTATTTCTTATTGCTATCGACCAACGACGTCAAAAATATGCCTTCGTATGTTGGCAGCTTTTGGCTTGTTCTAGATGCTGGAGGAAGATGATGTGAGTGTTGCATTCAGAAATACTCATTCCAAGTGCCCAAGCGACTCTGACACAAACCGGACTGTTCATAAATTCGGAGCGCTGTCTGAATGTACCGTTCAGTTATCCACAGCACCGCACTTCCAGAGCAGCAGAGCGCCGAGCAGAGTGAATGTGTGATTAACTTAACCTTTGTTAATTCATGTAGAAATATAACCCTTAATTTCTGCTCTCTTTCTCTTTTAGGGCTGGTGTAATTCCTCATATCCCAGCAGGCAGGTCCTTAAAAATGACTCTAACCAGCCTTGTGGAGGGACGTTATGTGACTGTGGTTCTGCCTGGTTTAAGAAGGGTCCTTATGCTCTGTGAAGTGGAAGTCTACGGATACCGCGCTCCAACCGGTGAGAACTGATTATATGGCTGAAGCCACACAAGATGTGACTTTTTTTAGATGATGCACCAGACCAGAGTTTGAGCTGCATTTCAGTCAGGACCACTTTAGTCAAAGCAAACTTTATTTTCATTTGTAGTATTATATTTGGTAGTATGGCTCTGTTCTGGGGCCTTCTGCCTTTCCTAGGCCTATGCAGAAAGCCTAAGGTGCAGAGAGCACACCTCTCTGCCCTTCCTTGCGCCCACAAGGAAAGACTAAGGCAGGGAGAGCAGCAGCAAAGACCCCCAGGAACAGAACAAAGCAGCATCAATGACAAACAGAAGTGACACTGATAAGTCAGACACAGCATGAAAAGGAGGAGCTGGGGTGGAGTTGGGTTGCAAAGCAGCTTGCAGAGGAAGCAGCAACAGTACACAGGCCAGAGCAGTTTAAATAGGGCGCCCTGAATGAGATTTGCCAAGTGGTTGTATAGAAAGGAATCATGTGATGTATCAGCTGACTCCCTTCCATCAGTCAGCTGCTCCATCAGTTGATTAGGCTGTTTGAGATCAGCTGATGTAGCTGGGATGTGAGCTGAGCTTGACATCGTGTCCTGTGACACTACCAAGAGAAGAGAGCACATCAGGCCAGTCTGAGCTGCTCTGCGCAGACTTCCTGCTACATTTAGAATTGATTTTAAGATTTTCTGATTTTCTGTGATTTGTAATGCCTCCGCCTCATTTTCCATACTGCCGCAGTCACACCAGAGTGTGAACTGCAGTCATTTGAACAAAGAAAACAGGCAGAATGCGTGCACGTCTTGTTGGTGATGAATCGCTCCTTTGCAAAGTCCAATCTATTTGGAAGGAAAGGAAAACTTATTATCAGTGCTGATGCTTTTAAATGTGTTCTGTCTGCAGGAGAGAATCTGGCGCTCCAGGGAAAAGCCACACAGTCGTCTTTGTATTCTACAGGCATTGCATATTTAGCTATTGATGGGAATCGTATTGGGTACTGGAACCAGGGTTCTTGTACTCACACAAAGGCCGACTTCAACCCCTGGTGGCGACTGGACCTGGGCAAAACTCATAAAGTGTTTTCTGTTAACGTAACCAACACTGTCGATTCTGTCCCACAACGACTTAATGGAGCTGAGATCCGAATTGGAGATTCTCTTGAAAACAACGGCAACAACAATCCCAGGTAGTTTAATGTCCATTAATTGGAATACTACAGTAACCTAAACTTTGTGATTATTGAATATCTTTATTTGGGTTTCTCTGAAACACATTTATGCCCAATTAAAAAAAAAAATCCAAATATAGAATACAGTATAAGTTTGGCATGTTTTACCAGTGACTTAAATTTATCAAATTATTTAGAAGATTTAGCCGTTTATTTAAATGATCATTTGATGTGTTCACAAACTGATTTCTTTTCCTGCTAGGTGTGCTGTGATCTCAAGCATCCCCGGAGGTTTCACCCACACCTTCCAGTGTAATGGGATGAACGGCCGCTACATCAACATCGTCATTCCTGGAAGAGCCGAGTACTTGACCCTGTGTGAGGTGGAGGTGTACGGCTCCAGACTGGATTAGCTCTGAGGAAGTTTAAAGCTGATAAGGACAGTTACTTATTATATTGGTCTTGTATAGACTCATCATTCATCCCCAAAATACAAACATATATTTTTCCTCTTACCTGCAGTGTTGGAGATATGTCGTAGAGATGTCTGTCTTCTCTCAAATATAATGGAACTAGATGGCACTTGTCTTGTGGTGCTCAGAGTGCCAAAAATACAGCAGCAATGTCTCTTTTCAGAAATCATGACCCAGTTACTCAAAATAATCCACAGACCTTGTTGTGAGCAGTTTCATGTAGGGGCTATTTTCTCTCTATCGAACTGCACCCACCAACCGTATCACTGGGCACCACTGAGCTAGCTAACGTTAAAGCTCAGCCGAGGGGGGCGCCATTAATCTTTACATCTTGTGCTGTCACAGGCTCGAGCCTCTCATCCATAAGTAGATGCACGCTTCCTTCTGACAGGAAAAGTACAGCTGTATTTATCTGAGAATTGACCGTCAACAGCGAGTAAACGTGGCAGGTTTTTCAAAATGCAGCGTATAAAAGGAAAACACACAATAAAAGTTTGTGTTTATGTTGTTAAATGTACAATCAACCAGTGCTATCATGTATCCTGAAAAGATAACAATAAAAGTGTGTTACATTGACTGATCTGATCTCTGCTGTCTGTGCTCTTTGCTTGGTCAGCCATGAACAAGATGTCAAAAATCATAAAAGGATTACTAGAGACTTTTTTTGATGAAGCAAACCAGTCCAGTCTGTGTATCAGAAGTTGTTGTTTTTTGTTGTTTTTTTTTAATATATATTTTTTTCAATTTAACAAAACATACAGAACACACACACAAACATGGCTCCAGTAGGCAAGTCTGTGGGTCCAGTGAAAAGCAAATCCTGCATGTTTTGTCATGACTTCACTAAAGTCGTGCCAAAATATTTTGAGCTTTGTACATGACCAGGTGCAATGCAAAAACGAGCCCTCATCTATACCACATCTAAAACATCTGTCTGGTAACTCAGGTTTATATTTATGCAATCTTTGTAGCGTTATATAGAGTTATCTATCATTAATAGTGTCAGACAAACTCTTTTGACATAACTCTGACCAATGCTCTGCATCTATTGTTATATCCAAGTCAGATTCTCATCTCTCTAGATTTATGCAACCCCACTTTTGAAGCTCCTTCCATTAACAGATCATACACTTTTGAAATGAACCCAGGTACATTTCCTTCATGAAGCAGCTTCTCTACATCACTAAGCACAGTTAAAGTCATTTTAGGTCCCAAAGTTGCTATAAGAAAGGATCTTAGTTGAAAATAACGTGTATCAGAAGTGTCTGCAACCTCACCACTAGATGCCACTAAATCCTACACTCAGGACCTGTAGGGGCCATAACATGCTGCATGCTGACACATGACGCATCTCTAACCACCCGGAAATCATGAGGTCGGGCGCTGTGTGCGACTCTTGTTCCTATTGTGTGCCAACTTTCAACAGCGCAAAAGCAGGTTGCGTTTGAAGTTGCAAAGCAACCATAACAAACACTAGTCTCTTGCACAGAAGCTGATGACATCAGCACGCTGGCTGACTCTGTCGTCTGTGGACATTCCCATAGGAAAGCTGTAATAGAACTAGTGCTGGCTCCCAGCAACAGTGATGTGATTGGATCCAAATCCGTGTACTTCCTCGACCAACGGCTGAGTAGCTTTGCCTTACTACACCTGCCTTTTGCTGTTCCCCGAATTGTTGTCCGTAGTACAACAGAAAAGGAAGTGTTCAGTGCATCGCAAGAAGAGATTAAAATGGATACGATTTCATTTGATTCAGCTTTATTGCAGAGCTGCAACTCTGTTACATGTAACACACGTGCCGTACCTATGGCAACGCCGTCACGTGGTCTGGATATCCCCGCCCATTTCTATTACAAAACGAAAGACGAATGTCCCCAGACTCCCATTCCGAAGTAAGGGAGGCTGGTTACGCGAGACTAAACAAGCACCAGCCTACTTAGATGAAATCCTGAGTGCAGACCAGGGGCTGTATTCACAAATATTCTGAGAATATTGACTCATAGAGCTCCTAACTTAAGCTAAAAAAAATCAGTAAGGAGTCCTAGCTAGAAAGTTCTCAGACCAACTCTGAGCAAGGGATGGGACAGAAACTTTCACTTTAGTGAGGAAGTATGGTTGACCCCATCGCTAGGTGTGATGCATTCTTTTAACAGATGTGATTGGTTGTCACAGACACGCCCCTTTGTGAGCCTGTAAGGTGTCCACACCCGGTAGAGATGAATTGCTGACTGTGAAAGTGTTGTCATTGTTAGTGTGATCACTGCTGATGGAAGGTTGAGACAGACCCAGGTCATCACTGCTGCACTGTTGGATTTTTCCAGTTTTTTTAATATCTCAATAATGTGATCATTTTATTCCTGGCGTTATAGCATTAATGTGTTGTGTGGGAAATGTGTGCGTAACCCTGATGAGATCAACCACAAATATGATTTCAGCACAATCTAATCTGTAGCATTTCATTAACTCACTGTCATCCAGCATTTGGAGAATATTTCCAATCACGCCCTAAAAAAAAGGTGCTCAGGAAGGCATGCATACTGTGATGCCGTCGCTCTGGCATTGAGCTCGCCTGCCGTGCGTCTACATCAAAAAGAAAGAATTAGAAGGTGCAAAGAATGCAGCATGTGTACGACACTGTAAGTATGAGGCTGCACCTTGGATATCTAGCTAAGCAAAACTGGAAGCTGGGGGAAACAGCGAGTCTGGCTCTCCTGAAATTAAAAAAAAAAAAAAATACACCTATCAGCACCTCTAAAGGTCAACAGCAGGTCATACATGTTACAAACTGTTCCATGTGAAGTGAATGCAAAGGTACTGCAGGCTGTTTTTTTTATATATAGTTTTGATTTATTTCAGCAATGTGACATAATATTTATCTGCAGGCTGTGACAGTACAAAAAAGTTGATTATTAGAAATCAAATCTTCACTTAGGTAAAAAAAAAAAAAAACTCAAGAGCTTTACAAAATAAAATATGATTCAAACAAATACAAAAGTACAAAGTTCAGACAAAATGTCATACAAATATAATCACAACAACCTCCTGCGACCCTGCGTCCTCACACAAGGACATTACATTTTGGGTTTGTTAAATCTGTTGTCCTCGTCTGTGGACACTTTTCTGTGCCGTGTAGTGGTAGCAAGAGCACAACACACATCTCTGCCAAGTCAGTCTGCAGCCAATCCCAAAACTAAAGTGGACAAGGTTTTTTTTTTTTTTTTTGTTCCTTTGTTTTTGTTTTGTTTTTGTTTATCAAAAGCCACTTCCTGTTCAAAGAAGATGCTTAATTTCTATGCTTGTCAGGTCCTTCTTATACTACATAGCTAAATAACTAAAGCTCTGGTCTCAGGAGGGTGTCACTGTAGGTTAAATGCCAAATGTCAAAAAGGTATGACAGTATGAAAAAATAGCTACCGCCCAGTTGCCAGTTTATTAGGTACACCAAGCTAAAACCAAGGTTGTCTTACACAAAATGTCCTGAGATTATTTATCTAAAGATTATAATGTTTTTTATTGAAACTGAGGTGTAGATTTAAAGGGATACCTAATCCAGTCTGGAACCGTACACCTCCACCTCACACAGGATCAAGTGGTTGGTTCTTCCAGGAATGACGATGTTAACGTAGCGTCCGTCCATCCCGTCACAGTGGAAGGTTTCTGTGAAACTTGGAGGGACCCTTGAGATCACAGTGCACCTAGCAGAAAGAGAAAATCGTTTGTCAAGTCGTTGAGTGATCAGTTGAATTCATACTGTACTGTTTTGATAAATATAAGTTACTGCTCATTATAATAAGGATAATTCTTTTGTTCCAAAAGCAGATAACCAATAATCACAAACTCTTAGCTGCAGTAGTATTTTAATGAATTCACATTAAACTACCTGGGATTGTTGTTGCCATTGTTTTCAGGAGAATCTCCAATTCGGATCTCAGCTCCTTCAAGTTGCCTGCCAGCATCTCCGTAATTGGTGATGTTAACAGTAAACACTTTGTGGGTTTTGCCCAGGTCCACTCGCCACCAGGGGTTTAAGTCGTTGCCTGTGTGACTGCAGGAAGCCTGGCTCCAGAGGGTGTTACGATTCCCATCTATAGCATTATTTGCAATGCCGATAGAATGCAGTGATGACTGTGAGGCTTTTCCGTAGAGCGCCAGATTCTCTCCTGCAGACAGAACACAGTTAAAAACATCAGCACTGATATATGGTTTCCTTGATGCTCTCTGCAAAACAAAGAGGTCCCAATCTGTGAATGTGTTGAGACTGAAATTAAAACTATTTGCACACCGTTGCCCTTTCCTTAAGAAGAAACTGCAGTAAGACAGGATGCCTCTAGACTCCATGGACAAGCATGTCTCACTTAACCCCCACTGTACAAAAAGTGAAGCCCAAATTTCCATGGATGTACAAAGAGAACTGGATACAACCTTAGAGGCGGGGCCACGTTCATTCCAGTGGAAGTTGCACAGTGGTGCATGAAGCCAAAAAAGCTTGATTTCCACAGCATGAAATTACCCAGGTCTTCTGTACCATGGTGCTCATAGCTAAGCGGCTAACTTCCTGTTTAGCGCTCCGCTGGTCTCACCACCAGACAATCAGAGATCTCCGCCTTCTGAGAGTCTGGGGACACTCCTTTCTAAAGTGTTTACTATTGGTTCTGCAACATAGGGAGTTTTTTTTAACTCTGAAATTGTATCCGCCCATCTAAACACAAAATCAGGGAGAAAGACATCAGTCTTTAGTTATGCAAAACGTCTAAAGACTGACTTATGAGTCTAGCGCTCTGCTAACTTGAATGAGGATAATATGATTTAATTGTGCAGCTCCTCTAGACTTTCAAAATGTTATCAGACCAAATTGATCAAATCCCATTTGTGATCTTTAAAAAACTGTGTCCACTGATTCACAGACGTCTCTTTTCCGATGTAAATCTATAGGAAAAGTATTTTTGGGCCCAATGGCATCGCATGAAGGACATGCTAATCATTTTCTGGCATACTATATAGTATGGTAGTATGGGTATTGGAATGCACAGTTGGTCTGGTGCATCACCGAGAAAATCACACACTGTGTGGCTTCACCCACAGATTCAGTTCTCACCAGTTGGAGCACGATATCCGTAGACTTCCACCTCGCAGAGTGAAAGGATCTTTCTTAAACCAGGCAGAAACACAGTCACATAACGTCCCTCCACACGCCTGGTAAAGGTAATTTTCAAAGACCTGCCAACTGGGATGTGATTAATTACTGCAGCCCTGGAAGAGAAGGAGAGATGGTGTTAAGCAATAGGAAGTAAGAACACTGACGCTGTGGACAGGCGTGACGCGTTACAAGTCAAAGTTGAGCTGTCCTCAACTTTTTTCATCATGCAAATGTCACGGTGAAACATCAGCCAATCATGTGTTTGTCTGTAGCTGTTGTGTTATTTATTTAGTTAGCGGACACTATGCTAACATTATGTGCATTGCAGTTTTCACAGGGACATACAGTAATGGGGCGGTGAAATGTGATGTTAAAATGGAGCTCAGAAATTGATCAAAAACAAAGATTTTTTTTTAACAAATTCAAACTTTAGATGACGATTATGTGGCAGGTCACACTGTTTTTATGTCGCTCATAGTGTGAACACAGCTTAGTCATCAAATTAAAAACATATGCAACTAAAACAGTTATTTGATTGCATTGTTGGTGTCCAGTTGCACTTTATGTTTCAGGAAATGAACAGGCATATGCCAACAAGAAGTCCAGTGTAGTTTTTTAATCCACAAAACTCATTCAGGGTATCAGGGAGGATAACAGCTACATTTTAAGTGCATGGAACCAACATTTTGAAAATGTAATAAATCCACTAATGCATTTCAAAATCGTCAGAACAGCTCGTCTGTCGTAATCCAAGTGCCCTGAAGCTGCAGCACACAAAACTGACTTAATTTGGGGTGTCGGTGGCTTAGTGGTAGAGCAGGCGCCCCATGTACAAGGCTGTTGCCACAGCAGCCCGGGTTCGACTCCAGCCTGTGGCTCTTTGCTGCATGTCACTCCTCTCTCTCCCCCCTTCACACTAGTCTGTCCTATCGATTAAAGGCTTAAAAATGCCTCCCAAAATATCTTTTTTTTTTTAAAAAATAAATAAATAAATAAAAGACATAATTTACTATTACGCTATTACGCTATTTACGCTTTTATAGCATCATTTCTCACCGTGGTCAGTTACGACGGATGAGCCGTTCTGACGTTTTTGAAATGCATAAGCAGAGTTTTATTACATTTTCAAAATGTGGGTTCCGTGCATTTCAAGTGTATGGAAAAATACGGCTAGCTGTTATCCTCCGATTTTATTATTACTTTATTTAGCTCGTCATCGTCTTTTTTATTCATTAAGTAAAAAAAAAGTAGTTGATAAATTTTCGTCATAGTTTTTGTCGACAAAGTTAAAACTGTCACAATGTTTGCCCCAATTTACCCCCCAAAAAAGGCAAAAAGTGCTCCTAAATTTTAGCTACCTTATGATGACCTGGAGGTGGGCCACATTTCCTGAAGGAAGGACCACCTCCACTTTAACTGTAAAAAACTAATACCCTTTTATGAAATACAACATTAAACCTTCACAGAAGAAGATTAGACGCAGTATCAGGATCTTGGTGGCTTACGTCTGCTAAACAATTTTCCTGGGGAAAACTTTTAGCCAGTTCATTAGGTCATTTCGTTCACTCACACTGGATTTGCAGCGCCGTCGTCTTGTAAAGAGTTGCCGATGTGAATCTCTGCCCCGTTGAGCCTCTCTGCACAGCAGTCTCCTCTGTTGGAGATGATGATGGAGGTGACAATGTAGGACTCCAGCAGGTCCACTCTCCACCAGGGGTTGGTCTGATTATCAGTGAGGGTGCATGATCCAGCCTCGTAGATAGGGTTACGGTTTCCATCAATAGCATTGTAGGCAGCGCCAAATGCGTGCGATGTGCGGTCTGACTGGGTCGCTTTTCCACGCAAGGCCACATTTTCTGTAAATGAGACAATTGAAATACATATTAAAATGTACGATAGAAAAATGTGTGTAAATTATCAAACCTCTTTTAAAAGATACACACTCCGCCCTTCTGATGTAAAGAATTACAGACCTGTCTCTCTTCTTCATTTATCTTTCTAAAACATTTGAGCGTACGCAACAACCGCACTCACAGGGTAACCGGGAGAGAATCTGTACAACCCGGTGGCATTCTGAAGTTGTTGAAATATGGCGGTTGAGCAGTGACTTGTGGCGTCAGACACTGACGAAAGAAGCCATCCTTTAACGTCGGTATGATACGCAGCCAGTTGCCGTTATAGTTTAATGGAGTGTGGCGGCGTCAGGGGGAAATGTAGCGGGACAAGAATCAAAGTTAAAGCGGTGAAAGTCCAAGCAGGGTGGATGGGAGGGATGGTGGATGGATCTAACAACCACCGACTCTCCCCAGGGAGAGCGGTGTTCGTATTCTGTTAGATTATAAACCCCAACCTATTCTTTTTACCTAACCACTTGTTTTTGTTGCCTAAACCCAATCATGTGCGTTAGTTGTTTGAGGGGCAAAAAAAGGATATGTAAACGTTACATTTCCTGTGAAAACAGAAGTGCATTTTAAAGGAAGACAATAGATGTAACAGGCAGAACTTGACAGAGCGTCCCAGAACGTCAACAACCAACACACCCAGAGTACCTTTCACGCCGTATGTGGACGTGGAAAGTCCATGACCAAACGCCAGTATGTGACAGGTGAGAATGTGTTGATCTGTAACCTCAGTGCTGGGGTACCTCAAGGTTTGGTTCTGGTACCCCTCCTCTTTTTTCTCTATACCAACTTATTATTCCCTTACATGGTTTTTCTAACCACAGCTATGCAGATGATACCAAACTGAGTCTGAGTCAGATAATGTATTGATTATTAAAAAGAATTATCAGCTATTATTATTGTGAATTGCAAAATTACTCAATGACTTGACTCTAACATTTAGCTTAAGGTTGTTTTATGGATGTGCTGACAATAAGGACAATATTTTTTTCAAATATGTCTTATATCAAAGATATCACAGATAGAGCCAGGTCATACTCACGATAGGTGTAAGCCGAGCATGTCCCCAGAAGGAGCAGCAAAAACAGAACTGAGCTGTGTTTCATTGTTCTGGTTGAGACAGACAACAGAGTCAATGCCAGAATTACACTGAAGGAATAAACACTGTCATCATTATTACTGTCTGAAATTTATCCCAGACCTACAACAATCTTTGATCTAGAAGTTAGATATCCAAACTGCATCAAAATAAAATAACTGTTAAAAGAAGAATAACTGGTGGAAAATAATAAAATACCTGTGTGTAGTTTTAACTGTCAGTGCACAGTGAGCAGACAAAACTTAAATAACCTCCAAACTGTGTATTTAAAAGCATCATTATTCAACTACAAACACATACCTTGACTTTAAGAATGAATCCAGAAGAAGACGAGGAGCTGCTGTTTCTGTTGAGTTGATGAATATGATTTGATGTGGACCACACAGAGATATTTATGTGCACATCTTATCATGACACGTGCTGCTGTTTGTTGATGATTTACCACACAAGACTTGTCTTTGTCCTTGTTAGTAGATAAGGCTGATTTCAGCTGTTAGATCAGGGATCAACAACTTCTTATGATGTTGAAGTGTGTATTGAGTAAACTTGAGCTAAAACCCTTAATTAATGCAGAATGCAAACAGCAGTAGCAGTAACAGTAAATATGCAGTAAAATCTATTATAGCATAAACAAGTTAAAAGGCTTCAAAGAAAAAGGATATTTATATGCACATCTTATCATTGCACATGCTGTTGTTTACTGATGATTTACCACAGATGAATTGTCTTTGTCCTTGTTAGTAGATCAAGATGTCTGGTGCTTATTGTCTTTATTAGGCACACCTTGCTGGTACCAGGTTAGACCCCCTTTTTAATTCTTGGTGTCATAGATTCAACAAGGTGCTGGAAACATTCCTCAGAGATGTTGGTCCATATTGACATGATGACATCACACAGTTGCTGCAGATTTGTCGGCTGCACATCCATGATGAGAATCTCCCGTTCCAGCACATCCCAAAGGTGCTCTATTGGACTGAGATCTGGTGACTGTGGAGGCCATTGGAGTACAGTGAACTCATTGTCATGTTTGAGATGATGTGAGCTTTGTGACATGGTGCGTTATCCTGCTGGAAGTAGCCATCAGAAGATGGGTACACTGTGGTCATAAAGGGATGGA